GTTTTAATCTTTTAACTGTATTTTTGTTTGTCTGCGTTGGGTGCGGTGCAGTAAACCATATGGCTGATTATTATCGTCCAGGAGGGTTACAACACACTCATATATTACATACAGATACACATATAGATATTACGATGAAGTCGACTCTGAACTTAAAGACTGAGAGCTGATGCTCTCTCTGGTCTTATATAATTTTTCCCCTGCCGTCGGGAAATCTGTAATACCTTCCGTTTTTCCAAATTAATAATCCGTATCTGTTCCTTATATACAACATTAACCGTATAGTGGAAGGCATATATACGGTTAATGTTATATATAAGGAACAGATACGGATTATAGTTACATATAGGAATCAATTACAGTTATGTATGGGCCGGACTAAAGTATCTTTAAATGGTCCCCTAGTTTGGTGACTTTTGCCGATTTCTCGCGAAAGACTGTCGTCAGCTTGGCGATATCTCGCCAATTTAGCGAAATAGCCATTTACCTCAATGTTACACAGACCTGGCCTGTAATCTTATTTTTCCGGCAGAGCATCATTCTCTCAAGCATTTTAAGTTACATTACACAAAAGATATTACAATGTAACATATACCATATTTTTCGGCGTACAAGACGCACCGGTCTATAAGACGCAGCTCCTTTTTTAAGCACATTTTTGAAGGATAAAACTTTTATCAATGATTATTATAATGAATTTATAGTATATTAAATATAAAGTAATACGAATACAAATACTTTCTGCAAATACCCAACATATCTGAGAAAGAACACCTTTTAATCTCCTTCGTCAAAACCCAGACACTCATTTCCAGAGCTAAATGAAGAGTCACTTGAAACTTCATCAAAATCAGCATCAGAGTCTTCATACAACAATTTGTCCTCTGAACCATCTAGTCCATTACTAATGCCACACTTCTTAAATGATTTAAAACACTGTCTATGTTTTCACAACATCTCATGAAGCTTTGACCCATTCACATACGACGTAGACGCAACTATCGGCGTATAAGACGCACCCTGTTTTTCAGACCTATTTTCGAAGAAAAAATGTGCGTCTTATACGCCGGCAAATAAGGTAATTTCACTAAAGTTGACTACACATATTTGTAACTATATGTTTTTCCAGCCAGGTACGAAATGCAATGAAAGTGGTACAATCCAGGTATCCTGAAGAAATCCCAGTATTTAGTAATAGTTCAAGAGTAATGACTCCTATAGCATTAAGTAGGCTATGAAAAGTAGTCTGCTTTCTGACCAACGTGTACTAAATTCCCGGATAACGTCGAATCATGGCAGTACGTCAGTTTAAGAAATAACAGGTTAGTTGAAACGTTTGCATTTCTCTGTCATAAGAAATTAAGAGTTTTGAAGAAAACTATAGATGGTTTTGGATTATTACCAGAAGCTTAAACCTTTTGAAATGTTAAAATTATCAGAATTTTAATGGCTCTCGACGTTAATCTAATTTTGTGTTGGAAACACAGAACCACAGAATTTGATTAATGTTCCAGCACGGATTTATATTAGTACAAAAAATTGGAATACAGGCTTCAAGGCTTCAGGCGCTAATCGCTGTTAACAGAGAAGATAGACTTCGCGCACAAATTTTGTGTTAAAATTAGCTTAAATGTTAAAACAGCCCGAAAGTTTGGATTATCCTTAAGAGAAACACAATGAAAACAAAACAAAGTTTCGCTTTTTTACAGTTAAGTATATTCTTTTCCAGATAGGGGAGCTTCCAAGTCTTTTATTATAACTATTCCAAGTCTTTTATAATCAATCAGCGCCTGGTAGTCAGAACTACTGAACACTGGTTGTTAAACCCGATATAAAATTTCAGCGAATACGAATCTGTTTTGCTGAGAAAGTATTTCTCGAAGATATCTTTCATATTAGGTAGACTATCCTACTTAGCTTTGACAGAATCTAATAAATTCAAACCTATATATATATATATTAATTATTTACATTCTCATTGGTTTATTGTCTCTATTTATGTTTATTTTTGTATTTTTAGGCCGATTCCAACTTCCTTGAATTATACTAATCATCACAAAAACATTATTTTAAAAAATTTTATATCTTTATTATATACACAAAAATGAAATAAATTGTGATATATTAATTTCGTGAAAAGAAATTATACAACGAAGCATTTCAAATTCAGAATACAACATTAAATTTTAGGTATACGTCGTATCATTTATACATAGGATCATTTAATCAAAATCAGAGGTTAAAGCTTTAAAAGAAAAACTTAGTATCTAAATGAAAATTTAAACAAGTTTAACACATAAAATAAATGAAATAAAAGTTAAAAATTGTACAAAACGTTTCAAGGAAATGCAGTGTATTTAAAGAACTTAGAGGGATATTATGCTCATTTTTTTTGGCTTAAACATTTAACCACATTCGTATCAAGTGACAAAATACAATCAAACTGTTAAAAGTATTCCCTTCAACCTAATATACTGAGTTTATTGGGCAACCGTAGACTTGGACAAACTTCTACTTAAAGTATGAAATTTATGTATAATATTAACTCAATCTTCACAAATAATCTTGTAATACCGCCGAAATTGGCATTCCTTGTAGTTGATTTAATTATGCTACCACTGAAGGATATGCAAATTTCTCACATGGTTTCTGTCAACAGGATGGCAAATATAGCGTTGTAATTATCGTCGAAATCTAAACTATTAAATTTATCATATAACAAAAGCAGCTCTTTCTTCTTCGTAATCCCATATTTGATACCTTTCTATTGTTCCAGTCTCATAGCTTAGTTGATTACAAGCTGCCAAGTAAGTGTTTTTCATAAGCATGGCTACCGTCATTGGACCTACACCGCCAGGAACCGGAGTTATGTAACTGACTTTTTCTACAACTCCTACAGAGAAAACATGAAAATTAAATTAAATGCGTTTCATCACAATACATGCACAAATCATAGCAATTATAAAATGCAAATTAAAAAAACATTGCTGTGATATTCCAGCTTAACACTAGAGGCCCGATGTAAACTTGCGTCCTTACAATGTGAAATGCTATGACTCGATGAAAACTTAACTTTATTTTATATGCAGAAATAGCTGTTTGTGTATGTATATAATTTAAAAATAACTGCAACTAAAATTGGATTTTCTTTTACAATGCGAAACATTAGCTCATGCAAAATATGGTATATAAACTAATCAGAAGATCTCATATTCTAAGAATCTAATTTTAATGAAATACAAACCAGGGCAAAATCATATAAATATTCACTTCTGTTCTTACTTAAAAATACTACCTATTGTTTCCAAATGACAAAACAATATCGTTACATTTAAATAAAATTAAATCTGAATTCTGAATTGTTTGGACGTGAATTTGGAACGTGAAAATGCATAGCATAAACAAAATATCAAAATGCTATTAAAAAGTATCTTGAAATTGAATAAGCTAAACAAAACAATATATACACAACTGCAATCTACTGCTACGCAATTTTATTATACTATTCGATTTTTTGTCTTTTAAATTAACGGTATAAACGTTATTAACACTTGTTGCGAAATATTACCAGGCAGGAAATTTCTTTTCAACGATTTATTTATTTATTTATTTATTTATTTTTGTACTGAGAAAAAACGCATTTATATGAGCTAATCAGCCCTATTAGCTTAAGATTTAATTCCCAAAAATTTAAAATATAAAATCGCAAATTTAAAGCAAGATGTTCGTTAAAGCTGTGCCAAACGGTGGGAAGAGAAACATACTAGGATTTTATTCCATTATAAAGGAATGTCAATTCTTTCAATCAGATATTGAAATCTTAACAAATATTTATAGTTGATCTAATTTCGTATTGGAATTGTTTACAAGAAATTTACGATCTGTAATTATTTTGTAGAGGAAATTACCCGGCAAAATGTGCTCAGCCACCTTGCTTGAAAAGCGTGGCAAACGTCACGCGACAACATTGCATACTATTGGAAGTTAATTGATCCATTCCGGAAACCCCTCCTTGGTTCCGATATCAATGTAGTAGTACCTTTCAGAATTATTCTGATAGTATTCGTATGGACCACCATTTCCGATTTATTCCGTTCCCCAAATCGGGATTAAACGGCAAAACACCATGAAGTATTTATAGAATATTAAAAAGAGCGCTAATGCTCAAATTTTTGGAAATTAATTTATTCATTATTCAAGAAATATTTACCTTCACTATGTGCACATTTTCAAGTCTTCTCATTTAAAAATCTGAATTTACCCATTCCTCCACTGGAGGTGAAAGACTGAGTTGTCTAAGAATTTCCTGCTATCCGTGCCCCCTCCTCTTTTTTTAATCTGAAGGGGCATTGTCCCTTGCGATTTTTTGGTCAGAACCCTAGAAACGGCGTATCACTTTTCAAGTTGTTGCCACTAAATACTATCGCCCTGTATTATATTTGAAGAAATTAAGTAATGAAGAATCTGCATAAATGTTTCTTGCATTGTGATGAAACAACGGTACCTAGAGCCATCCAATTTTGAATGACGTAATCCTACTGCGATATGGGCATCTGAAGCCCAAATTTGAAATTTGGATGGTTTTATTACGATTTCAATTTTGAAAATTAACGAATTTTTGATTGGCAAATCAACGATTTAAAAGTGAGCAAAAGCCACACCTACGGGGGGGGGAACCTTTTCTCCCACGCGGACTGTGTATCGGAAATTCTAACATATGCTCTTTTAAAAAATGATTTTGCGACATTGGTTGAACTGAATTTGGTTTAATGCAAAGAACCATATTTTAAAAAAAAGTCATAAAACGTAAAAAAACGCTCCTTTGGACGTAATTTAAAATTTAAACAAACTCTTTTATTTTATTTATTTATTTTTTTATTTTTTATTTTTTTTTATTTATTTTTTTTTTTTGGACCGGGGTGGGGTGAACCCTATTTAAACAAATTTGTTTGTCTAAAGATTTAATCAGTTGTCTAAAGTGATTTCCTTCTGGCAGTTTTTCGGTATAGTTTTAAAGTAGAACAAGCCACTGTGTTAGACTGGCATATGTCATTCTGTTGGTCTCAGTATGATTGATGGAGCACTTCTTGATTATGCCAGAGACTACTTTCCACTTCTTCTGAAGGTCTTTGGTTGATGATTGCAATGGCCCGAGTTTCTGTGTCTCCTTGTTTCACCGAACTGAAACTTCCTTCTAGTATTCCTAGTCTCTCTGCTCAAGGAGAGCCTTCAGTACTTTAATAGTGAGCTTATTTCACCAAAAAAGTAGTATGCAAACAGCTTTTACGCATTCTTCTCCTCAGCTTCAGTGCTGTGAAAACCATCTCGTCTACAAATTCATTGCCGTTCACTGATTTACAATGAATATAAGCAGGACACAGAACAAAGATGCGTTGAAGATCCTTTAATTTCTTATGGATAAATCTAGCATAGCGTCTTCAGTGTCAAATTAGTTATTCTAGAATTTTTCTGTTTATCATGTCAGATGAAAGCTTCAAAGTGCCATCTGAAGAATGCTCATATGTACAGTCTTTTGAAGAAGACATTTATTTATTGGTCTAGTGGTTGAAACAATGATCTGATCTGCGTTTGAAGGAATTGTGCCTTTAAAACAATTATTCAAAATTATTCTTAAATTCTCAAGTTATTAAAAACGATTCTCCTCCGGGTCTTTCTGGTAGTCGGGGACACTATCAAGCAGCAATATTGTATTCAGTATTAAGCCTTTATCTATCAGCTAGCTCTTTTGTTATGTAGGAAGCAAGGGCTTCGACTATCCACTGTTTATATAATAATTGGGGGAACCTATCCTTTTTATTCGGTCCTCATACAAAAGACTACTTTGATTTATAATATTCTCATTTTTAGAAAGACTGAAATTATGTAACTGAAAAATAATGCAGATTGCACCTTGCAGTGCGTACAAACTGTTGATTCTTTTTTTAAGAAAATTTACCAGGAAGTAAGCATTTTCTTTGTTTTAGTTTCGTACTTTGGACATATTTTGCCTAATTTCGGAATATACCATACTGTAGTACTGGTTCGGTACGTGGAACATTTCTCGGTGGGAACACCAGTTCATGATACAGGAACATCTTTGCACAAGACTTTCATTATGTGGAGCATTTCTTTACCTAAAAACAATACTTTTAGTACTTTCAGTTATTCTAATATTAAGGTATTTGAATAATGAATACTTTAATTTACAATTTTAACTTAACAGTCTCTCATTTTTTCTTGACTATTAACTACGCCATTAACTTCAGAAAATATAATATAACCGTTCAGAAAATATAATATGACTAGCGGGCTGCAGCCAAAGCAAAATTAATAAGTTCTATGTACACCTGAAAAGCAAATGTATGAAAACATTTCAGGATGAATGAAATCAGTTCATTCTTTCCAAGCAACGACCAATTCGTAAATAATTTTTTATTGCCAATCCAGGAAACAAAAACTTTTGACACTTCAGGTTAATAAGCATGACGTCATGATTTAAATTTAATGTAATATAACAACATTTTTCAATATTAATAAAATAATTAACGTGGCAATAATATACCGTGTCAGTTATACTGACCTGAAAGAAAAAAGTTTCCAACAGCAGCTATTTATTTAAAATGCTGACATTTAACGAACAATTTTCGCCATACGTCACATGCAATCGCGTGCTTTCTTCAGCGTCAGAATACGACCTTACATAATAATAATATGTTTAATGTTTGGGCAATACTATTTTTATTTCGTATTTTGTAAAACTTACAGATTTTTTATTAACAAACCCTACGATATGAAAGCGAGCAGCGACAACACTTTTCGAAATAAAGCAGATTTTTATCTCCAGCGCTCGAGACTGTTGCTAATCGAGAAAATGAGTGCGAAAATGAGCGGTTTCAGAATTTCTGAATTAATATCTCCGCTGATTACAGTTCTTCGAAGATGATATTGGTCGAAATGGCTTCCCAAGAATTTTTGGAATAGGGAATAATATATATAATGTTTGGCAATGCTATTTTTATTTCATATTTTGTAAAACTTAGAAATTTTTTATTAAGAAACTCTACAATTTAAAAACGAGCAGTGGCAATACGTTTCAAAATAAAGCATATTTTCATTTTCAGCGTGCGAAAATGAGGGCTAAAATTGGCGTTTTCTGAGTTTTGGAATCCGGGGAGTTTGAGTTTGGAATCCGGGGGGTACCTCTCTCGAAGCTCAACTCTACGCCGTTCAGGAGGAGATAATGCTACAAACAAACAGACGTGCAAAGATTTTAATAACATAGATCAGCGGTTCTCAACCTTTTGACTAACACGTACCATCTAAACAAAAATTGTACAAAGTACCACCACCACTCTTGAACAAAGCTCAGATCGCATAAATTTACGAGTGTTAGAGAAAAAGCACAGTCAGGATGCTGGGGTTTTAATTTTTGAATTTAATAGTTAAAAATACATTGGTTCGTTGCGTACCACCTATTGTTCTCTGGTGGTTCGCGTACCACCGGTTGAGAACCCCTGGTATAGACTGTATTTTAAATTTTCTACATTTAATGTTACGTCAAGTTCTAATTATTTTCTATTAAATTCTTAGATTCAGTATCAAACGCCAAGCATAAAATGTCTTAAAAATTTATAATGACATTGAAGAGCTATGCGGAAATTCAAATGTAAAATGAATGTAAAAGATAAGATGTTTCTCTAATTACTCACTGTCAAAGTCTACATCTCCAACAAGCTTAGATTTTCCAGTCTGAGGATCTTTTATCCTGGTAATACCTACGTCGATGACTGCAGCGCCCTCTTTCACCATATCTGCTGTTATGAGATGAGGTATACCTGTTGCCACAACAAGAATATCGGCCATTCGAGTAAATTCAACTAACTTTGCTGCCGGTGTATGCCGGTGACAAACAGTGACTGTTGCATCTCCTAAAAATGAAATAATGTTGTATTTTCACATATCTGCATCACTCTTATAATTAAGTAACTGAAATGTAACGTAAAAAAAAAATCTAAAAGTTTTCTAATTTTAACAATTTCTCAATAGGTCTCTTTTGATGTTTAATATGGTTTCTCAGTAGAGATTATCCACAGAGATGGCCCAGCTGGAATACAGAAACATTTTATGCCATACTATATGAACGTACATTTTGCTTAACATGGGGGATTATATATCTTCTTATTTTATATAAAAAAATAAAATTAGTATATCATGAATTAAATGCATTTTTATTTAAATAAATTAAATGAAAAATTAAAGAATAACATTTTTAAAAACTGCACCTATTGCTTTTAAATAGCTTAGCTTGTTAATCAATAACAAATAAAATAAATTTGAAAGGCGTTTTAAATTTTGGAGAAGGGCAACAGACTCTAATTAAAGGAGACACAAAGCATTTAAAGTGAATGAACGCCAAATTGTATTTCGAGACTAATAACTCTTTTTGGCTAACATATGCATAAAATCATATAGGTATGAACATGAGCAAGACACAGTTATGCAAAATAAAAGCAGGAAAATTAAGAAAGATAATTTTATTTGTGTTCAGATCTTTAAAATTCAATTTTGCTACGCGAAATTCTAAAATCCAACACCATTAACCGACTAAATAAGGCTTTGACACCATTGAACGATTCCACCATTAACCGAATTAATAAGACTCTTCTGAACTCTGCTAAGTGTGGCTGGATCTTGCGTAAACTGCGTAGAAGCTTTTGTGATTTTCCTTTCGTGTAACTTAAATATGAGGACTTTCTAATCCCTCCACGAAGGCATTCATTTCAGCATATAGACAAACTTTGCGTACTTTTTGTATTCAACTAAATAAACAAACTTATTCCTTAATGTTTTCATTTGTAACACAAAGAATATTTAAAGCATTTATTGGATCAATTATAAAATCTTAAAATGGGTGAAATAATTTTTCTCTACTTTTTACGCAGCGGCCGAGCGGTAAAATCGCTGAACACTAGTAGTTCAGCCCGAGGTTCGAATCCCGCGAACGGGCTGGCTGCATGGCCGTGTTTTCGTGGTTTTCCCCATGTGTAACGTGTATATGAGCCAGTTTCCCTTACAAAGTCCTCCACAATAACATCCCTCCCCTTAGGTAGATAGCCCTAGTGTACTTTGCCGTATTCTCAATACACCAAATACACTTTTACACTTAAGTGAGGTGACAGCAGCCTTTTAAAAATAATCCATGTCTAATATGACTAAAATAAATAAAAACAGTCAGTATTCATTGTGTTTAATATATCCAGTCTATCGTATATCTTAATCGTTAAGTTGCTTTGTTGATATTGTTTTTCAACGTTCTTCTAGCAATATCCGTTAGGTTTTACTGCACAGATGAAAAAGGAAAAAGTAATTTTTGTTTCCATTATCATCGACTGCTTCAATAAAATCAAAAGGAAAATAAAAAAAAATAATAAAAATATATAGATATTTGAGCTAACATCGGTAGTGATAATATATACTGAAAAAACAGAATAGCTTACAAAATGTTATATATATTTAGTAACAAAATTCTGTAAGTATAGTTATAGCCTTGGAAATATCTCAAAAGAAATCAGCTGATCTATATTTCATTCTCCATATTTCATTGTTAAAAAATAAAATATTTTTTGCACCGAAAAATAAAATATTTAAAATAATGTTAGTAAATTATCGCGAATTACAGAAAGTAGTTACAAGGAAAGTTTCTATTATATTCAATGAAGCACTGCGCAACAAACTTCTATTAAAACAAACGTTTTGGGTATTGTAGGCTTTTATTCTATGCAATTTTCAAATTTTAATCTCTCACGGTCGACGTTATAAAAGACGTGAGCATCATTATAACATATAACTATAAAATATGTATTGATTTTATAAATATTTTTTACTGTAAAAGTTAGTTCAGTTCGCACATAAACAAAAATAAATTCGAAATTCAAAATTCGTTTTCTGCTAGATGCATATGTTGAGGCGCAGGATTATATGTGTTCAAAATTTGATAGCCCTACGTGTCACAGTCTTCCAATAGTGCAACACACTCACCTCTCAGATTGTTCATTTTTTTACAACAGAGAAGACTCTCTATGTATTTTGAGTTCCCTCATGCCGCTATACACTTAGAATCATTAAAGTCACTTCCTAGATTAAAGCTGGGACTTAAGAATATGGTAAACAGCAACGCTAACCGTTATACTGAAGAGAGCAACACACTCCACTCACCCACTTCTGCCATTGGATGAAATTAATACAGAACGAGTTTTAAATAAGTACTTGAATGATTTTTCGTATTCTGAAGTCATTCCATAAATTAAATTGCCTTTAATCATCAAAGTAAAAATTCTCTGCAGCTTAATGTAGTTCTAGCCAAAAAGGAACTTAATACAGGTCTCCTTAAAAAATGAGGTTTTTTTCTTCTTCGAATTAATATTTAATTCCTCTAGCATGTGGAAATTCAATACAAGCATTAGTTAACTGAATTTGATATTATTCTTTTACATTAGGAAAACTAGAATTTGAAATGCATTCTTGAATAGTATAGCGATCAAGACTAATTGTTTTAAAATATGAATCCTTGATTCAAAAGCAATAAGGAATATTTGGAGAGAATAGAACATCATCATCGACAAGTTTAAAATTTATTTAACCCCCATTTCGTCTAATATAAGTTGTGCAGAAAGTATGGAAAAAATACCAAGAAGCTTTACCCTTTTAAAATTCTTTAAAATCTTTAAAAATTCCATAGTCTACAGATAAAAAAGCAAACTGAGTGTAAATTTTTATTTATATTTATCTCGTTCTTAATTGGTAGTATTTGAAGTTTTGTTGATCCGTTGCATTTCATGAAATTGCCAGCCCGCTGAACATTTTGAAAATTGTTTTTCCCTTGGAGCATCAGCATAGCGAAAATTAATGAATGTCCCCAAGGATTACCTTGTTTTGAAAAACAACTTATTCAATATCTTTCTAAACAGAAGTGGTAAGTTCATTAAATAACCTGCATAATAATTACGGAAATAAATGTATTCATGAATCCTACAGCTATGTAGTATCCCTTTTTGTTTATGCTCTAAAAACCTATCTTTTAAGCATGTCAAAATATAAATGTTTTTTGAATCCTTAATGTATTTCCGTTGTTATCCCTTCATAAAGTAATATATTTAATGTCCAAGTTCTTAGCGGTTTTTTTTACCACTTCACTTAAATAAATATTATATTTATATTTTATTTCTACGGAATTTATTCATCTTCTAAGCCGTTTGTTACCAACTTTCAGTTTAACCGCAACTAAATTTCCTATTGCTTTAAAGAAGAAGAAGAATAAATGATGAAACAACAATTTAGTAAGAAAGCTAAAAGTAACAAATTCTTGCAAACAACATTTAATAGCACTTACCTTGTAGAGGCATTAGGATTTTTTTGGAAGCAAGAGAGATGAAAAATTAACAATTCCCTTCGCCGGGAATATAACCACGGACCTCTGGAATACCGGCCCAGCGTGCGGAACCACTACACCACGAAGGCACGCCAAGAAGGTGGGAGAAATACCTTATATACTCCCCTTTCTAAAGGACGACTGGGGTTTTTAGGCGAACCAATCGCCAAATCCTGGGTGGGAGAATTCTCATCCAACACCCTTTTAGTTCGGGTTTGTACTGTTTTACTTTAGTATTTTCGCGCATTAAGCTGCTGAAAAATTATCAGTAAAGACATAAAGTAAGAAATTTAGAACTAATTTTTCGCAAAGACCAAAAATTGAAATTCGTAAGTAACAAATTTCAAATAATCCTATAAATGCGATAACGAATTTAAAAAATGTCAAAACAAAATCTCTTCAAACAAGAAATACCCCAATTCAAAAGATCAATGAAGTTTAAAGAAAAACGAACATAATAGAAAAGGAATTCAATCAACTTTCAATGCCACTTCCTCAGGAGGAGGAACACTGAAATCAATTGAAATTTCTCTTCCACAAAAATCCTTGCTTTTTCTTATCCAGAATTAGCCGATGAACCATTTTAATTATAATAGTTCACCCGAAATATCTGGCTTCTCCCCAAAGCAAGGAAAAACAAAGTAAATTCTAATTATAATCTTGTACCTTAAATAAAGGAAATTTTATTTAAAGAATTGAAAACGTAAGTGAAATAATAAAATACTTCAGAGATAAATTCGAATAAAAATTTTACCTTTAAAAAATAGCACATAATCCAAAGAATTTTAAACGTAAGTGAAATTACAAAACTTTAGTAAAAGACTTAATTAAAAAATTAAATAAAAAAATTAGTTCTAAGTTTCCTACTTCGTGCAAAGTCATTAAACTTATAAAAGCTGCTGAGCCATAACTTCAAAAAGCTGATTTTACAGCCATAAGTTATAAAAATTACTTTTCTACTTATAATTCCTAAAATACGAATGTTTAAAAGTTAACTTTACAATTCTTACAAAAAGGAAGTTATTAATACTAAGTTTCATCTACCTTTAGGAAAATAATTTAATTCAACCTTTTAATAGCCTTAATTTCCAGCATGTTATACAGCTTTTCTTAAAGGAGTTTTGAAAGAAATCATTACCTACATATATACACAAAACAGACGATTGGTGGCAGATTGTGAATACGGCAAAGCACACTAGGGCTATCTGCCTAAGGGGAGGGATGCCTTCGTGGAGGATTTCCTAAGAGAAACTGGCTTGTATACACGTTAGACATGGGGGAAAACCACGAAAACGCCGATGCAGCCAGCCCTTTCTCGGGATTCGAACCTCGGATCGAACTACCAGTGTTCAGCGATTTTACCGCTCGGCCGCTGGTGGGCCTCACGAAACAGAAGAACCTTCAAACCTGCGACTTCTGAGATTTTAAAATAAAAAACTTTGTTTTAAAAGATTTTTTTACGAACAATTTTATTTTAGCCCTAGGAAAATAATAAAATTGTCAACTTTTTCCATTTTTCCTGAATCCTCGTTTGTAATTTAAAAAACATTCTTGCAACATTTGCAGGAACGCCAGAAAGGAAAACATGCATGATTGCAAAAAAACCTTCTTGATGTACAATTCATTCTAAATGTCCGTTTTATGCAGTCCTCCAAAATAAGTTAAAACGGAGAGAAATTTTTCAGATTAATATAACAGATATCTACTGAAAATACTATCAACATTAATTTATTTTTAGATATATTTTCGAGCAAAAATTAAATAATTAAATAAATAAAAATTAAATAAATAAAACTAAACATACAAACACAAAAATTAAATAAATAAATCTAAACATACAAACAAAAAATATGCAGCCATACTATCTATAAACATGTTAATAAAGGTTAATACATTGAATACTCCAACCTTTTAGCTTTAACTGGTTTGAAATAATTGATGGAGTTTGAAAGCCTTAAGCAACTAATGGTGAGACCAAGCTTTGAACAAACAACTTTGGTGAGAATGTGTTATCAGAAATGAAGAATCTGAAGCTTCCAGGTTGTGCGACAAGAATTTCAGAATCACGTGCCTGCCTCAGTTTGAAGCGTTTTCATTGGGAAAATTAAATTCCAAAAATAATCTACATTTCTTATGAAGACAATAAGAACCGAAGTGTGCAATTATGCAACTGATACTTAGCAAGGTATGCAGAGAATGCGTAGTTTCTGAGAAGAATGTTTAGAATGATAAGAATACATTTAAAAGCATTAACAAAATATTCTTCATTTCAATTAATTCTTTTAAATTTTAAAAATAAATTATATATTAATAAATGCTGATTTAATAATCATTTAAATTTTTTAAGCTAACCTGTATATATTTTCAGTTTGCTGCAAAATATAAGAGACTGTAAGACAGAATCATTTCTCTTACCTGCTTGCGTCTCTCCTATTCCATCAGCATGAAGTAGCATGGCCATTGGCATTCCGACATTTTTTGATCTTCCACAAACTACGGCATTTTTACCAAATGTTTTTATACCTGAAATATGGACGCTGTGTAAATTATATGTATACTATGTGATAATGCAATTAACACAAATCTAGATATCGGTCATGCGGCCTATGGCCTAACGGTTACATTTAGCACAGACCTTAAGTTTAAAGGCAGGACTGACTACGGAAAAACGAAATCCTGTTTTAACAGCCCCCATTAATTTAAAGACTTAAACTACTTTATACTCTCAATTTAAAGACCATGTCAATAAGTCAGCCTGTTTCTGTTCGTTTTGATTACTAGTCAGTCAGTGCGTCGTTGACCTGCTACAGTACTGTGACGGTACTCTTTCGCGTCGGTGAGTTGTTTTGTTTGTGAGTTCGTGTTGTCGTTTACCACGGCTTCTAAAAAAAGGTGTTGCGTTAACGTTAGCGAATAAACGAAAAATTATAGAGCAATCAGATAAAGTAGTTATGGGTAAAATTTAAAATTGTAGCAGACACCTACATCCTGAGTTTTTGTACAATGCCGATGAAACCGCTCTTGTTTGAAAAGCTCTGCCTAAAGCCACTTTAACATTTAAAAGGGAATGTAGTGCTCCAGGACATAAAGTTAGTAAAGCCATGTTACGGTGCTTATCTGTGCGAACTCTACAAGAAGCCATAAAACACCCCTTCTTTTGATAAAGAAAGTCAAAAACCCCAAGAGCATTTAAAAATGTGAAAAAGCTTCTTCTATAAAAATCACTCAAGGCTTGGATGACTGCAACATTGTTTACCGAGTGGTATGAAGAAATGTTCATCGCCGAAGTGAAAAAGCACCAAAAGCCAACCTGAAAAGAAGGCAGTTAAGTGATTTTGATTGCTGATAACGTACCAACTCACCCCACAAGAGAATTGTTGGAAAGATGGAATGGTCAGTTTACAACAATCTTTTTTACCGCCAAACGTCACAAGCTTGTTGCAACAAATGGACCAGTCTGTTATCGAAACCATGAAACATCATCACAGAAGGCAATTTTTAAAGAAACTTTGATAGACAGCGAAGAAGAGAACGTGTGTTGGCTAACCACAAAAAAAAATTAATTTGAAAGATTGCGGTTACATGGGGGCAGAAGCTTGGAGCTTGGTTAATGAAGCCACAGTAAAACGTGCGTAGAACAAGTTGAAAGGCATATCAACTGAAGAAGAAAAGGAAAAGAAGAAAAAAGAAGCTCAAGAAAAGGAAAGGGAAGAGACAGGAGAAGATGAGGATGACGTGTCACTTGAGGAATTAAGAAATATTCTTTTAAAAATTCATGGATGTTCAGAAATTAGTGCTGAGGATAGAGCAGAATGAATGGTGTGTGATTCGTCAGACCCTGGGTTTCAAATTCTAAATGATGATGAACTTATTAAACGTGTGAGAGAAGAAAGTGTCGAGGAAGATGATGACATTAATATCGATGTTGAAGCAGACAACGGGACCATCATCTAGTGAAGCGATTGCCGACCTTGAAACTCTGCTGAAGTGGATGGAGCGTCAGCCCAAGTGTGACCACATGTAACTTCTCATTGTCAAGTGGATGGGCGACTTGGCTGCCCGAAAACGGATGAAGACAGTCAAACAGCTTACTTTGACCGAAATGTTCAGCAAGCAATGACTTTCAGCCACTTGTAAGTACTATACAATGTATAAATGGAGAAGTCGATGGGACTATATCTGTTTAACTATGTTAGCCACCAAGTAGCCCCATTTTCCGATATCTATCACCTGCATCAGACTTAAAACATTAATGTGTATTTCTATTATGAAAATCAAAGTTTAATATTTTCTTTTCGAATTTGATTTTTTCTTGTTTGGACTAAATGCGTTCTCTACTGCAGTTTGTAGAACGTTTTCTGTTCTCTCAGTTCTACTATCATCCCCTTCAACTCTTCCAAAAATTTCAAATTTGAGTGTAAGTTATTTAGAGTTTAGATTCCCGTAATTATACAAATAGAAAAGGTACTGAGAGAGAGACCTGGTAAGTGCGTAGATTGCTTCCAACTGTGACCAAATTTTTTGGCTGGCGTCTTTATAGCTGATTGTTAAAATGACAATGACATTTTGTTGAATTTTCATTTGGACCTTTCACAGAATTTGGTATTAGTTTTGTGGAACCTAGTTAATTTCTAATATTTTTAACTTCCTTGTGACAATTTAGTTTATTTTTAACTAACAAGCTTTTCTAACTTGAAACTTTTTTATCACTTCTGACTTAGTTACACAGATCGTTCCCTCCAGACGGTTGAGACGAGCGTAAGAGTGTAAGTAGGTTAAATGGAGCGGGAGAGTAGTCTGATATCTGAACCCGTCTGAAGTTGGCTGTTGTCTGAAGAAAGTCAGTCTGAGTCTGTGCCTAGGTGTGGCAGAGTAAGCTGTAGGATGGAGTAGCGAGAAAATAGTTGGTTTTGATTGTTGATGTCTACAACCTTTCCAGTGTAGTCGATTCCAGCGAAGTTCTCTTCAAAATGGTAAGCTACGGTTCAAAGCTTAGCACGTTAAAACTAGAATTGCGGTTCCTCTTAGAGTAAAACTGAAGTGCGAATTTTAGCATAGTCAAGTGGACTGTTATCTGTATTTTTATCTTAGTTCTCAAGTAGAGATTCATTAACGTTTTAAGTTAAATGTTATTGAGTTCTTTTGTTTTTCTTTCATCGTGAACTTAGAAATATCACTTCCATAACGATAGTTTGTGTAAGGGAATCAGTGGCACCTAATAATTAGAACCTACAGAGCTAGCTGTAGTTGTTATGATCACCCAGATACTCTCAAATCTAACAGTAGGTGAAATATCGTTTTAAAATATTTCCCTAAAGTATAGATAGATAAGCTTTAGTAATATCTTACGTGTTACTTACAAGATAGTAGTGTCCAATAAATATTTTAATTTTCTTAACTCGAACATTTATTTAGTTATTATGAGTTGAACAATATACTTTGTCTAAAGGCAAAACTCACCTGGAATTTTTAGGATCTACCATTGAGAGCACAAAGTTTTAAGACGAATTAGTAGCTAAACCGCACTAGATCTCATGTATTGGAATTCAGAACTCAGTTAAAACGAATTAAAATTTACCATACACATATAATTCACCATTAAATTATGTTTACTAATTTAGCCATTATTTAAATGAAATTCGATACAATAATTAAACTCAAAAATATTAGATTTTATCGTACCCCAAAATAGTTAGATTAAAATAATTTTCTTTTTGCTTCCGCTAGTTTAATTTTAAGTACCAGTAAACTGTACAATTTTCATAAATTATACAGAAAAAAAATTCTACAATTAATAGCTACGCATTTGCACAAAAATAAATAAATAAACAAATGAAATGAAATAAAAATAAATTCTTAATTTTAAAACAATGTACTTTATTCCTTACCAGTCCTCCGTAGAAGCTCCATTATACCTAATGGTGTGCATGGAATTAAAGAATGCATATCCAGGCAATATCGTCCAACATTGACAACGTGAAATCCATCAACATCTTTGTGTGGAGCAATAGCATTGCACACTCGACGTTCATTCATGTGGTTCGGCAAAGGAAGCTGCACAAGGATTCCGTCAACATTTGGCATGTCGTTGCAATCTCGGATGATATTTAAAACTTCTTCTTCCGTAGCTTTTGGTGAAAGATGTATTGTTTCGCTTGATATGCCTGATAATGAAAAGTTTTAAACAATATAATATAAAAATAATCAATGGTTCCGGCTACAGATATTAAATTTAGGTAATTTTAACATAAATATTAATCCTTACAAGACAGCAAAATTCTAGATTGGTTTACTTGTTCAATCATTGACTACACTATGAATCTGCATTATATAACTGCTTTTCCCAATTTATATGACTATCTCATTTTCAAAATATTCTAAGCTACTTATAATGTAAAAGAGATATTTCATAACACAATTGATTAAAAGATTTTGCTGAAATAATTTCTTATTTTAAAACTATTTTTCTGCTTCAGTTTCTCTGCTGCTAAACTGCGTATTATTTGTAGTTATTATCATCTATTTTGAACATTCAAATTAGCATGATAGTGTCCTTCCGTAGAAATAAAATGAAATAACGACCCTAAATCCAATCCATCTTTATCCTCAGCCTTTAAGGAAATTATCATTTAGTTTTCTTGTTTCATCAATAGAAGAAGCCAGTAGCTTTACGTCTTCTCAGTCATTCTTATCTTCTCACAGTGGCTTATCTAGGGTGGACCAAGGAGGAACATTTGTCACCGAGCGCAGTATTCAGGGGTCGCCAATTTGATGTTACGAAATTTTAGAATTAAATGTTTTCCATTCTTAGTTCACAGAAAGGGGCGCAAAATCTTCAGTTGTCCCGGACGCAGAAAACTCTAGCAAAGACTAGGTCTTAACATCACAGTCTATCTCGTTCATTTGTACTTAGGTAGCAGAAGAAGGTTCTGTAATTAACCATCAAAACTAGTCCTGCAAAATTTACATATATTACGCTGACTCCTGTTCTTTAACTTCTTCACTAATTGAAAAAAAAAAAAAAAATCTGATGTGTACGCAACATGACTTCCTTGCGCGGAGTTAAATTATACGCATTTTTCCTTGCATTTCATTTACACTTATTGGATTGAATTAAATCTACATCGTCGAAAGTGCATAAACCACAATAGAATAAATGCACTTTTTTAAATTCACTATATTTGTTTACCATAGCGGACAGCTTCTGGCACTAAGGTTCACTTAACAGCGTTACATTTCATTCATTTTATGACTCAGAATGCTAATAAAATTATAGATCATCTGAAGAATTATCCAATCGTAATTCTTCAGATTCAATCGTAATTCTTCGAGTTGCCACATGTTCTATTCAAATAATTGCATAATAAATCTAAAACGATGTATAAAAGAAATTAAGCAAACAAAACAAAAAAGAAACAGTTTTTCACAGACGATTCTCATTCAATTAATTCAGTTCTCACTTTCCAACAAGGCAAAAATACATAAAAACTCAAAATATCTATATTAAAAATTACGAAGTAAATCTTATGCACTTATTTCCTTGAATAAATTTCAGAATGGATTAAGCATGATTTAATTCGCAATAATAAAAGAAGGCGTTATGTTTGTTGTTGAGAAGCTTAGTTTTTCTAGATTGGCAACAAATCCGCTATTTTGCCAAGTTTAAAATGTAAACAAACATGTCCGCCATCGCAAAATTCATTAGGCTTAGCTGCATTTAAACAACTTTTAAATTGTTGATAACTCTACAAATATTGCATGCAGGTTTACTAAAGGCATAAAAACTTTAACCGGAAGATAAGAACAACATAATTCAATCATTTTTAAAGCAAAAACTGCACAATTTACAAACATATAATAATAAAGAAACCGAGCTCACTGAGCCTAGTAACAGAGTGGATATATATATTAATATATATATATATACATAAATTGTATGACCTTAAATTCACTTAGTTCGAAAACTTGACTTATTCAAGTTACTTTAAAACACAATTTTCGGATTTAAACTTCCTACATATGGGTTCACTTTCTTTTGATACTTCTTAATTTATATTAGGAGATAATATAATCAATATTTCTTTATATACATATATTTATATACTTTTGGTGCGGCCGATTGCAACTAAAATACAAGGTGCACATCTACATATTATAGCAGTCTTACATACAAAATTTGAATGTTCTGAGGGTACTCGTTTTTGAGTTATGAGAGATACGTATGTACGTACGCATAGACGCCCCGAAAAATTTTCTTCAGAATTCATTTTAAATCAGTTTAAAAAAAATTTGGGGGGGGGAAGAGTCCTTTATTCTGTTCTTACTTGAGGATGTCACGCAAAAACATCATTAAATTGTATTGGATAGCGGTCAAAATCGATATTTTCGTTGAAATATGATATCCGAAATTTTTCGCAATTACGATACTTCCTTTTTACTACGTACAAGGAAGTAAAAAGAGTGCTAAATAAAGATTTTGTTTTAACAGCCATGTAATAAAAATTGCATTTTATAGTAAAATACGTATATTGTCTTAAATAAACATTTAATATTTTTTTCGAGAGTAAACTAATAAACTAATAAACCAAGCAGATTAGAATTTAGTTTTGATAACTTTATTGAGACCTAGTAATTACATTAAATTTCAAATTAAATGCCCCTATAATAGACGAAAGAGTTTGTTAAGATGTTAACAATAAAGAATTATTTAACCTTGCTCTTCATCACGAAACGCAACGCTTTTTTTTTTTTTTTTTTTCCTTTCCTATTATTAAGTTCTCCACAATTTGGCACTACATGGAAAGAGAGGGAAGCCCCGCGCTGGACTTTTAAGGAAGACTGGTGCGTATCCATATTACACAAGGGAAAACACCCATGCAGCCAGCCCGTTCGCTGGGACTCCAGTATTCAGTGACTTTTATCTCTCGGCCGCTGCTAAGCCAAAAGTAAATATTACAACATAATTTAGCTTAACAATATCGCGCGACGGGCAAAATGTCAAATTACTCTTAAAGATATTTATTATAAATGAATTAAATGTAAGTGAAAATTCTATAAGAAGGTGCTCTTTAAAAGAATGCTATTACTGCTCAAAATGAGTTATGCAAATGTGTTCCAATGTATTTCAATCATAAATTTGAATCCTGATTCAAATTGTACGCTATTTTGTGTACCGAAGTGCTTTATGGATGTAAAGAATATAAAGCAGTATTTTAAATATCCGGAAGTATTAGAAGGAAAACTATGTATTGAATGGCATCAGAAAACGTAACAGAATCACGTGCATTAATTATTCAACGTACAAATTCCGGTAGGTCTAGTTAAAAAAGGGCAAGGTCATGTCCTACATTTCAAAAACATATTTCTTTTTCTTATTAGCGGCAATTAATTCATAAGAACATTAATTTTTCATGACCTTTAAATCTTTTATAACTGAGAATTATACCCGAAAAGGAGAAATTTTATATATATATTTGAAAACAACAATGCACTATCAAAATTTGTTCTATCCTGAAAGTATGAATAAACATGATTTCCTTGTTGACAATAATATATTGATTAGCATTTGACAAAACAATGTAATTTTAGTAAATCAATAAACGAAGCAAAAAAGAGCTGATTACCAGTTTCACGAGCAGCATTTAATTTGTTATTGACATAGACAGCACTAGCGGGATTATCTCCAACGAGTATGACGCTCAAGTGAGGTCTACGGTTTCCCGTAGCGATCCATTTCTGAATATCGTATTTGATTTCTGCTTTTATCTGTGCAGAGATTTTCTTTCCATCGATGATCTTAGATTTATGCTTCGAGCTATAAAGTAAAATCAGAAAGAAACATATGTAATTGTTTATACTATTTTACATATTATATAAAAATTTTACGCAAAGAATAATTTAGAAAATGCGAGTACAGAAAACTAAACATTTCCAAATTTAATTTTCCTCCATCTAATTGTATAGTAAACTTAATTCTCTGCTATGCGTGTAATTTAAGGAATAGTTCCTTCCTCCCTTCCAGAAAACCGCTTGATTAATTTAAAACTAATTGTAAAATGTCCTTAGTAGTCAGCAGTGTTGTATTATTTTACATTTGATAATGACAATACAGAGTAATGATTAAATTAATAAAATAATATTGGCAAAATTATAGCCGAAATGTGCACGCAAAATACAGAGCCACATTACATTCGAAAGAGACCCAGATGTTGTCTAGCGGTTCGGTGGTGCATCTATTACCAACAAATCAACAAAATTTGATTAACAAGTTATATTTTGGTGCTGTAGTAGCCGAAGTCATATCGACATATAAGTAATAAGAAAGAAACGCAATCAGTAGCAATAACAGTCGATATAAGAAAAAACTATCTGAAAAAAGAAAAACTACTCGAAAGTTGAAATTGGAGATACCCAGGAAAACGATAGGCCAGAAATGATTATTTCTATTCCCGATGTCTCAAATTCTATTTCCTTGAAATTATGACGAACTATCAAAGATTCAGTAGGTTAGTCATCCCTTTTTGATTAATGATGGACTTAAGGAAAATGGATTCTCTGTTGGTCATGCTTATTGCTTCTTGAAGATAGTTTTCGTGAGATTTACATACGACTTGTTCTATGCCCCATCTCCTATTAGAAGGAATCTTGAATTTTTCCTTTCCTCTTTAGGAAATTTTGGCATCGCAATTCTTTTCCTGGCCGCCGGATGTGAGAGGGTGGCTCATTATCTAGTTGCTATATGTCCTATGGCTATTTTCAATGGGATTTGGGGAGTTTTCATACCTGGGAACCCCTTAATTGCTGTAAAGGCTTACAAAACATCCTTTCAGATAGCTTATGAAAGCAATACGAAATTTAACCGAAAAACACATAAAATCTTAACTTCTAACTCTTAACTGACTACAGAGCTAAATGCAAGCCTTATCTCATCTATCTGCACTCAAACTGCTCGTCGGAAAGTTTAACGGTCAGGTTTAATTACCGCCATACTACAGCCAAATACATCACTATCAGAAATCCATTTCAGTAATGCCAGCAACAAAATTCTTCGATCTCGAATAATGTGAAATGCATATAATTCTCGAGTGAATTCACCTTCACAGTAAGTTTTCATCATCATTCGGAAGAGCTTATATGTTAGGAAGGTTCTAAGGACCTTATCACACAGATTGCTTTAATCTCAGACTTAGTCAATCTTGGAGCTCTCAAAGAGAGTTTGTGTGGTATTGGGATGAATTTCTAAACTCCATGATGAGACTCTACGCTCCAGCAATTGGCTTTTATGGATGAAAATGCCCCTTGCCATCCAGCCAGCATCGTTAGCAAGTATCTAGAGAAAGAGGATATTTCTCGTATGGAGTTGCCACTGTATACCTTCCTAATACGAATCTCACTGAAAATTTTTGCGATGCCTTCGAGCATGCTATCTCTGTCCGTTTACTCCAGTCATTCTTAGGCAGTTTAAAATTGCTCTAATGGGGGAATGGCCATTGCTATTATTTGCGATAGTTTATCACTCCAATGAAAGCACGGAACTGTAAAATTTGTGTGAAGGTCTGAGGTGGCCATAAAGTTTTGTTTTAGGTTTAATATAAATTTTTATTGACCCAAATGTGATAACATCAGTTAATTTAGGAAAATTAAATATATTTTTACCTTTGTACTTATGCTTGTTTTTTTTCCTGCATAAATACATTTGATAGTGTCACGTGCACTTTGGTTCACTACAAACGGCTGATCACTTTTCAGATTGTTACCACTAAATATTATCACCCTCTATTTTTTTAAAGAAATTAATTAATGAAAAATCTACATGTATGTATGCACATTCTTTGCATTGTTAAACAACGACCCTACCTAGAGCCATCAAATTTTGAATAACGTAATCCTCCAACCGAACATAGGTACTTGAAATCCCTAATTTTGAATTTCGAATTTGTTTTTTGTTTATTTCGTATTTTGTAAAACTTTAATGAACTTTTGTTTAACAGATTCAATGAAATTTTTCAGAAAAATCAATTTTTCAGATTGAATTTGAAAGCGAGCAATGGCAACATTGTTTGAAATAAAACACTTTTATCTCCAGCTCCTAAAACTGTTGCCATTATGGAAAATAAGATATTTATCTTGCAGTTTTAATTAACAAACTTGGCTTTATAAAAGCATTGTGTTGCGCGGATGGAAATAAAGTACTTTTATCTTCTACGCATCAGCGTGTTACCATTCAGTAGATCTAAGATAATTTAAAATTTAATCTGGAAGGTTATTGAGTAATAAACTAAATGATTTAAAAGCAATAAACATAGTTCTTAAGAATATTTTTTCTACTTAAGGTTTGATTCAAATAAACATGTATTAAAAATCGTAAGCTATATCTAATTAGAAATAGTCAATGCTTTTATGAAATCACCTAGCTGGATTCATTTAAATCAGGATATACTTTTCCTTTTTTATAATAATTATAGGCAGCTGGCCGCACGACAGGCTAGTTTTAAAGGAATAATATAGCGCATGTAAAATTATAAATGGGAAGCTCTACCGCTCTATCGGGAGTTATAAAGATATGCTGTTTTTAAATATTTTGTGATTTTCTTGTTGAATTGAATTGCATGTGACTTAAGGGTGAAGAATGCGATATTTAATAAATAAAGTTAACACATAAAAAGTTAATAATAAAAACGATACAAACGGACGTAACAATAAAAACGGACAACAAAAATATTTTTTGTTAGCTAGCTATCTTACTAAGAAAATTGAATACTGAAATGATGAACTGAGGACATGATAATTGAAATGATGACTGAAAAAACTATAAAATTGTATGCCAAAACTTAACATTGCATCGGGAATTATAAACATATGCTGCTAGGTAGCTTTTAAAACTTTTTTTTTTTTTATTTTGTTGTTGAACTGTGTATGGCGTAAGTGCAAAGAAAACAGTGCTTAATAATAAAGCTAACAAAACAAAACAAAAATAGGGGATTAGCATAAGTGAGTACATGAGCAGATTGGTAGATTGCAAGCCCACTGAGAGTGTAAAAATCCTTAACAAAACACTTTCAGGTGAAAGTGAAAATCAGAATCATTTCAGTTTTTTTGTAATAGTTGATATTACCATCGCATGCTTAAATTTTGGAAGCCAGTGTATTTAATAAGTGTTAATATTTGAATGCAAAATATTTTAATACATGAAAGGACAAGAGAATAAATTACCTGAGATCAGTAGAATCTGAACGTCTTCTAGTCGTAGAATATAAACTGATGTTATCCTTCTGTACAGAAATGCAGGTGAACAATGAACTAAATTTCTTAGCATTGGCACCCCTCAGGCAGAGGCTGGCTACTTTTGAGTTCATCGTTATCATTTTCAGTGTTCAATAAAAATCTAAAAACATATGAAAATAGGATTTAAATATAATTATGTTAAGAGACACAACAAACTAAATACTTTATGCTGAAATTAAGAAAAAAAAATCTGTAAGATTTCAAGTTTTATTATTACAAGGGAGGAATTTTTTTTTTTTTTCCATTTACACACCACACACGTTCCGAGAGCATTTGGACTATAGTCTTTGTAGGCTAAAAAGACTTCAACTTAACAACAACATGAAATAATCAACTATTTGAGGAAAAAAATGATGTAATGCTTGTTAGCGAAACCAAGCTTCGGCCAGCGACAAATTCAAACTTCACGGTCATAATATCGTAAGAAATGATAGACAATATAATAATGGGGGTGTTGCTACACTTATTATTAAAAATTATATTAAAAAAGTGAAGGGTTTCGACAACATAAGCAACTCTAACATTACAAATGCCTACGAGCGGTCGAGCTGTAAAGTGTCTGAACACTAGTATTTCGAATCCCACGAACGGGCTTGCTGAATGAGCGTTTTCGTGAGTTTCCCCATGTTTAACGCGTATACGGGCCATTTTCCGTTAGGCAGTCCTCCACGAAGACATTCTTTCCTTTAGGCAGATATCCCTCGAGTGATTTGCCAAAATCAAATAAACCAAACCAAACTGTCATTATAAATCTGCCTAAATAATTGTATCTTCCTTCTTACTATTATAGTTAATGCTTTCATAAGACAATGCTGTTTCCGCAACAGCGGAAATAATACTCTATTATCATCACGATACCCAAGTTTGGGAAAAATCCCAAATCACTTCCAGTTATAGATCTATCAGTCTGCTTCTGTGTATAAGAAAGATTTTTAAAAGATTAAACTCTAAGCTCACTAAACATCTGGAAAAATATGATTTTCTCAAGTTGGTTTTTGTAAAGGACACAGTACTGCACACCAAATTCTCAACATTATCGAATTTATTGTCGACGCATCCTTTAAGGACTCAGTCGTTGCAGTTTTCGACAAAATACGATACAAGGCTGTGATTTACAAATTATTAGAACTTCATCTCCCAATCAGCTTTATTAAACTCATAAATTCCTACTTAAAAATGAGAATGTACCTAGTAAAAAGTGCAAAAATCTTTTCTTATAAATATATCATCAATTCAGGGATCCCGCAGGGGCCACATGTTGCTTCCATATTATTTAATATTTTTAATAATGACTTTCCGACTCCGCTTTCAGCTCAAGTCTTAAAATATGCAGACGACACCGCAGTACTAGTGAGATCAGTGAACCCTCAGCTTGCCATCCATAATATTCAGCTATGTATGAACATAATTGCCCAATGGTTTAAACTATGGAAAATGCATTTAAATACCAAAAAATGCTGTGTTGTTCTCTATCGAAGATACGGGAAGAGTATCAGAATTAATGCGGACATTGTCATTGATAACGATATTCTACCTGTGGAACCTTGGAAGTAATCGTAGACAATCGACTAAAACAGCAGCGCATCACTGTTATTTTAAACAAAGCAAATGGAACTTATATGACCATTCCAAGCTTTATCCTAGAATTAAACAGCAGCTGTACCTTACATTAATTCGCACAATACTTTTATACGGAGTTCCTACATGGGCAACTACGAAGAATACCTTTCGCTAAAAATTAGTTTTTCAAAATAAAATTCTCTGTATCAAAATGAACGCACCCTGGTACCTGAAAAATTTCCAGGTGCATACTGAATTAAAAGTCCTAACTCTTTCGTATCACATTCTCACTGCATAATACTTCTTGAGCAAAATTAAGAACTTTCAGTACACTATACTTATGCAAATTATCGACTGTGATCCTACAATCGAAAATGGGTCAGAAGACCGAGAACTGTTCGCCATAATGCGCATTGGTTATTTTGTACATATCAGCTTTATTTTTTTCTAGATCGCATTTATTCAGCATTTCTCATACTATCATGCAAGTGACATCTTCATGCTGACCTAACAACTCCACAAAGCAGCACTTCTCTAGAAATTTTAAAATCAGGAGTTCTGTGCGTTATTATGTCTGTGTTTTATTGTATTTTTGTGCATTGAATTATATCCTGTAATGCAGTACAATTCACTCTCACGCCATTTAAGAGTAGCACTAGCAATCTCAAGACCTCATCCTGTGCATTACACTCCTTGACTTTGTCACTCTTACGACATTCTCTTTCCGTCCAATCAGATGATTGCTATTGCACATAAATTTTAAATATCTTAAACGGTTGCAGGACGTCATTATGATGGACTGGTAGATACATCCTAATGTAGAAGCAAGTAGGAGAAAGAAGTTCCACGTTTCAAGACTTTAACAAACTATTTTTCAGCCGTCAGTGCTAATTCAGGGATGATTTATAATTAATCCAAAAAAGCTTTTTTGTCGCCACAACAATTAAACTTTATTCCTTGTTCACTTCAATATTTTAAGTTCTATAGTCTCTCTTGTGAAGTTTACATATACAGTTACAGTAAGACCCCGCTTAACGCGGGGGATACGTTCCATCAAAGTAGAGCGTAATGCGAAACAGCGCTAAACGAGGCTATCTTTACATGTAAATATTGGGGTTAGGGGAAGATGGCTAGGAAATTGGTTAGGTATTAAATTTAAAAAGTATGTTTTTTTTTAATAAAATAAAACCAAATATTTCTATTTCTTAAAGCCCAAATTAATACCACATTATTATTTCTTGCAAAAAATAAAAACAAAATATAAATAACAAAACGAATATTCTTAAAAAATAAATAAAATTCTCAGTCAGTCATATTTAGTTAGCCTTCCGCGTTTTTCAGTGTTCTGCCTTTTTGTGACAAAAGCATCTAATGTTGTTTGCCTTTTTCTTTTGCGTTGTTCTCTTAAAAGTTCTTCATAAACGGATAGAGCATCTCTAACACCACGCCTTACTTTTGAGCTCTGTCAAAATTCGGATCATTTTCAATGAAATGATCCATTATTCCAGTTATGGTAGACAAACTCCTTTTTACAAACGCCATCGAAAGTTCTTTTTGCTCTTCTTCTGAATCACTGCTGTCAACATTTTTGTTCTTCTTGTTCAGTTAATTCCTTGAGCTCATCATTAGACAGACTAGCCGCTGCTTCTTGAATTATTTCTTCGACATCTTCCACATTTACCCCTTCAAAATATGTCTGTACAACACCGCACCAAACAAGAAATACAAATACACTCTTTCGGATATGTATTTCAAACCTATCGCTGCATAATATTTCGGGGAATCCCCGTATGCTGCGAGCGATTTCATGGAATCCCCGGGTTGAAATAAAAGAGCGTTAAACCGAAACAGCGTTAAGCGGGGTCTTACTGTATATACATTTTAATCCCCTTCTGTTGTAATAAATTGCCTATCAACAAGCGATAAATTTTCATATCGCCGAATAATCACTTTGTGAGAAAAAAACACATTCCTCTGCGTGTGTTTCATGGGTCAGCTCAGCTTATTAAGCTTATACTCGTCAGCTTATTAAATCCTACAGACAGATGTGGGTATATTGCACAACCTAGGGATATGTTCTTTGAGGAAAGTTGCAGAAATGCGGAATGGCGCATGAAATCATGTTACCATTGGTAGGTCTATATCGTTAAAAGAGCATTAAAACGCATTATGCGATTAACAATTTTTTTGCGAGATAAGAAAAAAATCTATTAAAAATGACAATTAATACATTAATATGCGAAAATTAAAATCTTGTACCGAAATAGTGATTTACTCTCACAGTATGTCAGTTATATGATTACTGTAGTTTGAGTATTAAATTCGCATGTATGAACCGTGTATAGAGTGAAATTCTCAGTTCTGGTACTCCGGTATAAAGTTTCGCACTTATTTCTGCATTTTTCGTCCGGTGTCGACTTCGTTCCAGTTACGTTGCGTTATTCCATAAAGTGCATTTTCATAGCTTTTTTGTATGTGAGATAGCTTGAAGTGTATCTTTGAGAGGAAAGAATTCAGGTAGGAAGAATATGATTTTCAGTTTGCCATCCTTTTCAAATTTTACTATGCTTTGCAACATTCTTTGCAAATATGCGTTTGCGGGTTTTTCTTTCCATCGTTCGACCGACCAACGGCCTAAAGTAGTTCTGTCCGCAGTTCGAATCCCAGTGAACGGGCTGGCTGTATAAGAGCTTTCTTAGTTTTCCTCATGTGTAACGTGTATGCGAACAGGTTACCTTAAACTGTTCTCCATGAAGGCATATCTCTCCTTAAGCAGATAGCCCTCAAGTGCTTTGCCATAATTGCATAGACCATATCATCTTTCCATCAATCAAATTTTATAAAATTTATTATTTTTCTTCTTATATTATATTTAATAAATATGGAATAGTTAAGTTTGCAAAATAAATAAAGCTTTACATAGAATGTATGTACTAACATCTCTTGATACGTGTGACTGTACAGAAGTGCAAGCTTCACTTGGACTCACAATATATGAAAAAGCAGCATGTCACTAACCACATAACTCTTATCCTGTTATAAGATTCCATAATTTAATCATTCCACATTTAAAAGACTACACCGACAAATAAAATTTCAACTTTTGAAGTTTATAGTTAATAATCATTAAATAGCGATATAGGAAAACAATTTTAAGATAATAAGCATAAAAACACCTCAACAGTTTTATTAATCCGAACATTGTTTAATCCAAATAACTTCTAAGTAATATTAATTATTGAATAGGAGAGATCAGTTCGTGAATGAATAACTTCATTGGAAAAGAAAGTGCGAATATTTCGCGTTGTGCGCCGTCAAATGCATCGCAGGAACTCTCAGCCCGGTTGGTCACTCACATTGCTTCAACCTAGGCCAGTCTATATGTTACGGCAAAATTTACGAATTAGGCAATAAAATTCATCTATACTTATGATGGTAGTTTACTCCACATAAAATATACTGTGGATCATCATTTATGTTACGCATTTGCATTAGACGTTTTCGTTCTCAAATGTGGCGGCATTTATTACACGCAGCATATTTTATGGTTTGTTTTACATTTTAAAATGTAATTACGTAAATGTGTTGTTTTTAATTAGGTACATTGTTTCTTTGGTACTCAAGAACATACTACGAAACGTTTTTTTGGGCTTTGCACTGTGTTAGCCTATTTAAAATCAATATCTTTAATTTTGTTCAATAAATTCGAATGTTTATATTACGTCACTGGAAAAAGAAAACATAATAGCGCCTTCTTTTCATGAGATGACAGAAAAAATTGAAAAGGAAGCTAATATGGAATTTTAAAACAAGCCTTGTTTTAGACTTTCCAGAAAAACAATAATTTACAAAACTTCATGCGAAATTAAATGTGGAAAAAATGGAAATGTCTATTGCATAAGATGCGTCTATCTGTAGGTCATTCTTTCGAAGGTACTATGCACAAACATTTTTTTAGCTTCATTCAAATGAACTGGATGTGAGAGGTCATCAGATATGCCGTAATTTAAAGGCACAATCTGAAATCAATGACTTAAAGTTTTCAAAGATTAATTAAGATAAAAATTTTCATTTAACTTTCTAAAAACCTCTAAATTTCGAGTAATGTGTTCGAAAATTTCCGAGAATGCAAATTCCAAAATATCATTGAGATTTCCTTTCTATTTGTGTCAAATTCTATCCATAAAAGAATTTGCTGACCATCAATCGTTTACCGTTAGAAGCATATATACGTACATTTTAGTGGAAGATTTTCGAGATTTTCACGATGTTTCATGTTCTATATACGACTCTTGTACATTTCATTATACAAAATTTCAAAGTTTTTTATATCTAAATGCAATCCAAGTTCTGAACTACAGTCATTTATAATAATAAAGTCTGCGAGGAGGAAAAATTGATAAACCATCAAGTCAAATTCTAACAAAATTGAAAAGATAGAGGGTGAACTTTATGAAAGTGCGCATTCGCAAGAGGATTCAAATTGCTAAAATAATGATATGCGTTTTAGATTTAAAATTTTAGTTTTAAATTCAAATTTTGAGAAAATGTGTTTTTATATAAATTTAAAATTTAAAAAAGTGATAACTAATGTTTTCACTGAAGTTTCGTATTTGTTTGATATCTAAATGTGAAGAAATTCTACCGCGATATTTTCACACAAATCATAGTTTATGCCCTAAAAATATACGGAGGATAATTGCACCAAGTTTTATAGGAACTTATACGGGACCGAATTTTTGCACATTTAAATTTCAAACAAATACTAAATTTTACACAAATCCTTTATCCTTACTTCTATAGATAATAATTCTGTTATAAAATTAAATATATAACAAATACCCCAACTCAGGCAATTTGTAAGAATCATTTTAAGGGACAGAGAAAGAAAAACATTAAAACAAATCAGTGTTTTCAAAAATTACAACATTTTTTTTTAAGTGCTCTAATTTTACAGATATTTAGTGCACAAAAAAAAACTAAACTTTTTTGGAAAAATGCTAAGTTGAAAGTTTTTTAAAAGAAGCTTTTTGTGTTTTTTTAATCAAAACATTGAAATAAAAATACTCTTTTCAATAGTTTCAATAGATTTGAATAGTTTCAACCTTCAACAATTTTTCAAAAACAAAAGTGATTCCGATTGTAGTCGTATTCCTTTTCGTTTAATCATAAGTTTCGTGAGTCATGACAACTGCAATACCAGATAATCCGCATTATTGAGGTTCTACTATAATATAAAATTTGACAGAAATATACCTTAGAATCGTGCCTTGTATTTAATTTATATATCCCTTCTTATAATCTTCGAAGAATTTATAAGTTTAACTGAGCAACTTAATGCTCTAAAATTAAACAGTCACAGCCCCAAAATTTTAGGGTGCATTTTCGTAGGGGGAATAAGCTGTCTGTGCGAGCATGTGTAAAACTATCATTCATTAGGTCTGTTTCAGGAAATCCAAAAATCCTGCAAAATCCTATGCAAATTTGAACTTCTTATAGTTCAAACTAATAGTATTACTATTTCAGTAATCAGGAGACTAAATCATAATGAATAACCAGAGTATTTTATTTAATTAAATAAAACTCACCAAAGCCTAACATAATTTTGACATTTATTCATAACAGAGGACTTTACAGTGGTTAATTAATTATGGCAAGAAAATTTTGGCTATGTGCCTAAGGAAAAATTCCTTCGTGCATTATTTTTTGTTTCAGAAAAAATGTGTCATATTTAAATAAATTCACCTAGTATCACATTAAACTTCTACAATTAAAAACCAGTTTTTTAATTAAATTGAATGTTAACAGTTAGCTCTAATTTATTCAGTCAAATCAAATGAGAACTTAGTAAAAGGAAAATTACTTAGTACAAGGATTATGTCATCAAATGCGGAATTCTAAATCGCTATTATGCTTATAAAAGCCTGAATTTCTCATCTTAGCTAAACTCTACATGAAAATAACTTTGTTGCAAAAAATTAAACATTAAATTCACATGGAACAGTTTCAGCAGACTTGCATAAACGATTTTAAATGCTTACCTTCGTCTTCAAATCCAGAAACAGAGTTCTTCCTTAATAAAATTAGATGACAATATCATGTGTTGTTTCTGTCACAGTACCTGGAAGAAAACTGGTCATCAAACTACTTTCATGCGGGGCTTTGTTAGAATAATTGCGTTTGAGGAAGTTGTGCAACTAGGTCAAACACTTTTCACTTTTAGGTCAGTGTACTGTTTTCTTTTTGAAAAGAAGTGTTTTATGAAGTTCTAGGAAGCAGGTAAATATCAAATTAAATATAAACGCCAATATTCTAATAATGAAAAAAAAATGAAAGAACAGAAAAAGAAACTCACTGGTTAACCTTCGTTCATAAACTAAGACGTAACAATTCAGACATCTGATCTACATGGAAGTAAACTCAAAAAGAGTGAACGTGGCAGTAAAGCGAAAGCGCGCCTTCTCCTTGTATGACCAGTTAATTAAACAAAAACTGGGTACAGTATTTACCTTCCTTTGACGTTGACGTATGTAATACCGTTAACAGGTTGCTGAATATTCAATAGCTTGAAATACTGAAGTAAACATTAAACGCCATTTTAGGCCACGCAATTTAACAAAAAGCGGAAGATCGGAAAGACTTGTCTTTTTTTTTTTTTTTTTTTTTCCCAAAGGAAATTTTTATTATTTTAACTTTAGCTTTCAGGTAAATTACAGTTTTAAGAAATTAAATCGAACATTATAAACTAGTAAACTATACAACCATTCAATTACTTTTTCTCTGGTTAGATTATTTGAATATGGCACAAAGGCTATCAGCTTAGGGAAAGAGATGCCTTCACCGAGGATTTTCTAAGGAAAACTTGTCTCGTATTACGTTACACATATGGAAACCAAACATGCAACCCAGTCTATTTGCTTAATTCGTACCCGAGACGAAATACTAGTATTCAATAGTTTTTAACCGCTCGGCTACTGGTGAAACCATTATTATTATTATTGCTACTTTATTTATTTATCCAAATATATTTTTTCGTATTTATCTTCATTCTTAATTACTTATTTTATTTGTAAAAGAAGAAATTTAGTAATTTTCTTGAAAGTTTTCGGTTTCCAGATGCTATTGGAATAAATATTCTTATTATGTTTTGTAGAATATTTTAATGTTAATTAACCAGTTACCTTGATTTAAACCTTTCTTGTATCTTATCCTTTCCGTAGCTCTCACTAGAATGAAAATAAGTTGATAGATTGTCTCGAGGGATCTCAATGCTTTTATGATAGAGCTTTTGGCAGCATTGCCTGCAGTTTACAATCTATCGTTCAGCTCTAACGGGATCACCAGTGAGTATTTCGGATTTAGCCATTCCGATAGCAGACGTTAAAAAAATGCTTGTAAGATATTTAACTAGCTTAAATAAATCAGTTTGTGTAGTCTCCGACTACGTTACTTTTGATTTGAAATTTCAGCTTAAATTATTTAAAATACCAGATTCAAAATTAAGATTAAATAAAAAGGTTATTTAAACCTTCATTAGAATAGCTCAGATGAGGCATTAACTTGCTTGCCAGTGCAACAGGGCCAGAAGGATTTTGATTTAATATCTACGCAGTTATGACAATTTTTTTTCATTTTTATTTTTGTTATCTGAACTCAATTTACCTTGAGTTAGTGATTTGTATCTTTCTTTCTGCCGATCCACTATAGGCCTTTTTTGAAAGTTTCCACAAACGTTTCATAGGCATCAAGTTTTTCAGCTAATTTTTTAGATGAAATCACCCGCTCATATGACGCCCCGCTCTGAATAGCCATGCCCGGCAACGGCGCTACTTTTACCCTGCCTCTTCCCCGCACATCACTTCAAGTTTCTGTAGAATCGCCACTGAAAACGGAAGCGATTAAGCTGCTCATCCAACGTTATTTTCCTTATCTCCTTTAGGTAAGGCAGACTTGATCCCAAAGTAACTTTTTTCCTTAACGTAACTCATTACACATTCTGCCATAGTGAGCCGATAATGCTTGTACCACCGCGAGATAGTTTTTTTTTTTTTTTTTTTTCTTATAGCTAATAAATATGTTTTTATATTCTAATTGTATTTCTTACGTATTACATTGTGAATTATCCTTTAATGAGTGAAGGAATTTGGTTTGCACTTTAATATTTGCTTGTAGCCATAAACTGCATTTTGATCATAAACAAATGAACTGAGAGTTCCTTCAGTTTCTACAAAACCAGCTAGCCCATGGAAGGATTTGCGTACATTTTAAATGAAACGCAAGCGTCGATGGTAGATGAACGGTTTGTTCAGTAGTTTTGATGGCAAGAGTTTAGTCTTAATTTTTTTTAGAAAGCTTAGAAAGTCACTTTCTACTACACACGGTTGCAGAAGCTCAAAAAGTTGCTATAACAACCGTCGCATTGCGAGGCCAAGCGTTGAATTGGTAATATCTGCTGTGTTAACCGGATAGTGAGAATTATAAATATGAAGTACTCAAAGCTGTACTGGTGAGAGAATTTCCTGTGGTTAATGATAGGAGGTGAAATTAGAACTTTATGGTAACTATTAGATAAATGCGAATGAGTTGACTGATTTTATTTTGAGAAACGTACATGTGGTAAAATTTTTACATAGCAGTAAACCCGATGCAAAAGTTATGAAATAACATTGCCAGCTTGTTCCCGCATATATGAGATTTTATAGAACTAAGAAAAACCTAGTACATTAGAAGAATTATTTGAATTCTTACAGATGTACGATGCTGAAAGTCAGCGTGTTTCAGCATCGTACATCTGTAAGCGGGGGTATAATGAGATATTTAGCCAAAGTTTTGGAAAGCTTGTAACCGAACGAGGTGACAAATTGCACGGGAGAAAACTTTTTAGTGGCCGGCAGAACATTCCATCGGTTCATGGCGATCGCCAAGCTAAAAATAGTTTCGATAAAAGGAAAACGGATGTTGATAAGCAAATACATTTTCGCCTTAAATTCGATCCCATCAGTGGCTAGATACAGGAGCGCAGAGTAGATTTTTTGCCAGACATAATTTTGAAGAAAGGTTTTGGAAAATATAGATTATTTGATGTGAAGTTATTTGATGGAACTAAAGTGATCAGAGTGCAAGGAAAACATATTAAAGGAGCAGGGTGAGAGTCTTTGACTATGCAAGTTAAGAATGAACAGCATAAGATGATTTTTTTCATGGTAACAAATTAACAGACGAACGTGATTTTGTGTGCTGGAGTTGCTGAATTTCTTGAAAACTGTTGTTGAGCGAAATGATTTTAAGGAAGAGTAGGTGCAATTGGACATGAACAGGTTAAAAAAAATATATGTAGAGCCACCGCCTTTTTCTTTCAACCTGTTCATGTTTGGACTTGAAGGATTTGATTTCAGAAGAAAAGATGAAGATGGGGAAGTTGGTAAGAAATTTTTCAGATTAGTTTGAGGATATCCCAAGGTTAATTCTTCCTTGTACGTAGTAAAAAGGAAGTATCGTAATCGGGAAAAATTTCGGTATCATATTTCAACGAAAATATCCATTTTGACCGCCATCCAATACAATCTAATGATGTTTTTGCGTTACATCCTCAAGTAAGAACAGAATAAAGGACTCTTCCCCCCAAAAAAATTATAAAACTGATTTAAAATGAACTCTGAAGAGAATTTTTCGGGGCGTCTATGCATACGTACGTATGTGTTCTCGCATAACTCAAAGAACGACCAGTCTCAGAACGTTGAAATTTTGTATATGGGACTGGTATAACATGTAGATGTGCACCTCGTATTTGGTTTCAATCGGCCGCGCCAAACGTATATAAATATATTTATATATATATATCCACCCTGTTACCCGGCTCAGTGATCTCAGTTTCTTTAATCTTATATGTTTGTAAATTGTACATTTTTTGCTTTAAAAATGATTGAATTATGTTGTTCTTGGTTTTTATGCCTTTAGTAAATCTGTATGCAATATTTTTAGAATTATCAACAATTTTAAAGTTGTTTAAGTGCCGCTAAGCATAATAATTTTTTTTTGATGGCGGCCATTGCTTGTTTACATTTGAAACAGCAGAGTAGTGGATTTGTTGCCAATCTATAGAAACGTAGCTTCGCAACAACAAAGATAACACCTTCATTTATTATTGCGAATTAAATCATGCTTAATCCTTTCTGGAATTTTTTCGAGGTAATAAGTGTTTAAGATTTACTTAATTTTTAATAATTAGTAACTTTTAATACAGATATTTTGAGTTTTTTTGTATTTTTTCTTGTCGCGAAGTGAGAACTAATTAATTTAATGAGAAATACTCAATCGTCTGTGAAAAACTGTTTCTTTTTTGTTTTGTTTGCTTAATTTCTTTTATACGTCGTTCTAGCTTTATCTTTAATTACATGTGGCAATGATCAGATAATTCTTTAAATGATATAAATTTTGTGCATTCTGAGTTATAATATGAACGAAATATAATACTGTTAAGTGAACCTTAGCGCCAGAGTGTCGCTATGGTAAACAAATAGAGTGAATTTTAAAGAATGCATTTATTCTATTGTGGGTTATGCGCTGTCGGCGAAGTAGATTTAATTCAATCCAATAAGTTTAAACGAAATGAAAAAAAAAAAAAAAAAAAAAAATGCGTATAATTTAATATTCGGTTATGCGCTGTCGGCGAAGTAGATTTAATTCAATCCAATAAGTTTAAACGAAATGAAAAAAAAAAAAAAAAAAAAAAAAAAAAATGCGTATAATTTAATATTCTATACAAGGAAGTCATGTGGTGTACACATCAGATTTTTTACCTCTGTGGTGATTCTAATCATTTTCTTTTAAGTCTCTTCTTATTAACTTTCCTCAAGCTCACTGCTGATGAATTTTAAAAATCTTTACACACACAAAAAAAAAAAAAAAAGCAAAATCATTTGAAAATTCAGAGTCTCAATTCAGGTTGTTTACTGAATAGTAACAGCAGGCGTATTGATACTCATGGTCAGTTGTAGCATTGCCTCAAAAGAAGTAAACAAGGATAGAGTGCGGAATCATGACTCGTCGAAATAGAATGCATTCCAAACAAATCGTATACCAAAAAAAAAAAAAAAAAAAAAAAAAAAAAAAAAAATTTCGCATCCAAGCAGGACCAGGTGAGACCTATTTCAAAGCAGAACTTATAGCAAGGTAGCACTGTAGAAGAAAACCGGAATATATTCATTTCATATCTAAAAGAAACGATTCCAAGCACTCACATTTCATATCCAAGAACTTCACATGTCATATCTAATTAATTGCTTTTTAAGAAAAAAGTTCCGAATATTTTTCCTATGTGTAGCTTAAATACGAACTATTTTTCTTAGAAAAGCTTCCGTGAAGAAATTCCTTCAAATTGGAAAAATTGTCCCCTTATGCATTGCTATATTCAGTTAAACAAACAAGTAAAAATACATTGATTAGCTAAACGAATCTATAGTCGAAAT